AAAAAAAAAAAAAAAGAAAAAAAAAGCCTCCATTTGTACAAGTCAAAAGCATAAGAGGCAAAAGCTCAGAATTACTGCTTCAGAAAGCCTGTAGTGATGTAGGGATAGTCCTAGCAAAGACTCCAAATGTTAAACACTAAAATTCTTTAACCATGTTCAGCTGTTTTTTACTTATTTTCAAATTTCAGAGTCACTGGGTACATTGTTAGCTCATTTCAAATTTTAATTCATTGGGGATTTAAATTGAAGCTAAACTTAGATTTCCTACAAGTCCGTGCCAGGACTAAAAGAAAAGGATTTAATTCTAAATATGGAAGTCTCAAACCTCATGTCAGCTTTTGTAACGTTTTCTGTAAAATTTCTTTCTAAAAAGAAATTAGTATCATTTCTTATTTGCATTACCGTGCTTATGACTACAAACTGGAGATATACAGACGCATCTATGAAGAATGAGACAGAGGGGATCATGAGCATGCCTACATATAAAAGATGTACCCATCCTTGCTTTAAATGAGTAAATATGTATGGAAGTTCACAGCTTGTTTGTTTCGACATAACCATCACAAGCTTCCACAATGTCAAGAGTTAAATCTCAATTTTCTGTTTTCCAATGTCATTCATATATTAATAACAAAACTATACTTCAAATATCTCTACACTGTGACTATCTTTCATTCAATATGCAGTTTGACTGAAAACAATGACTTATTTGAGTGATGGTGTACAATATTAAAAATCAGCTAAGTGTCAAAACACCTGTAGGTTTTAACAGCAGGCATACATTCTTTATAATTGTCCTGGAATAATTCACAAGGTACAAAGGTGATATATGAATTACAAATAACATGTTTTTAACTAAAGACATTTAACTAATACCCTTTACTAGAACTTACTGTTGCCACTCAAAAMCAGCTTGATGGAGAATTCACCTAAATAAACCAAGGAAAGTGAAAAAAAGTGAAAACACAGACTAACTGTATAACACACTGGGTCATTTCCCAGTGTTTCACTTGATATACTTCATTATCTGGATTTCATTATGAAAACACAACAAAATACAGATGTCTTACCGTTAGCGCGTCACCCTGTGGATATCCAGATGCCCAGGCTTCCTCTTTTTGCATCTACGTGTAAAAACTAAGGTAAAAACAAGACATTAAAACGCTGTGCATGGAGGCGTTGCACATGCCGTCGCTGAGGCGGCCCTGGCTGGTGGGAGCCGAGGGCCTTGAGGCATGCGCCAGGCCTCGCTTGCCCCTGGGCCACCCGCACGCCACCTCCCGTACACCTKCACTAAGAGGGGATCACAAACTATAAATAAATAAATAAATAATGTGAAATAACCAAAATTCGGGCGCCCCTGTGAGGCAGCCACGCGTGCCACGTCGGGCAGAGGCTGCGGGCGACAGGCAGGGCCTGCACTTCACCCAGCGACACGTCCAAGAGCAGGCGTGTGAGAGAAATAGCGAGRAACCAAATTAAGAAGTAATTTTGCCGGTTGTGGTTTATAGGCAGCTTTTAATAATCAGATTCTGTGCCTGCTTCAAAAAAGCCCAGTAAAATTCAGTTTGGCTGGGCTAAATCAGCTCAGCATGAAACATCACAGGAAGCTGTGAGTGACCTTCTAGTTACCTTCACAGCTCAAAGAAAGACTTAGCCACAAACTGATTTTAGTAGCCAGTTGGTCGATTTGAACAGCTTTCTAATGCCAGGACTGAGAGGTACAGCTATTTTAATGTAACACCCTACACAGCAGGTAAATGCACAAAGTTTACTGTGTCAGTCTTCTTTTCAATATCACAGTGCATATGGGGGGGATGATTTGTTTTATTCTTTTTTTTTTTTTTTCAGTATTGAAGCGATTAAATAAATACTAGTGTTGAGAATTTATCATCATAACTTATCCTGATATTTACAGTTACAGTGCTCCTATATCCTACAGATAGCAAAATACTGGCATTAATCCTTCAATCTCATTTTCACTGCGCAGCCCGTCATGCTCAGTTGTAGAAGTTTATTATTTCTTTCACTATAAAATAAACAAACTATCTTGACTCTAAATATGTGTTCACTGAAATAATACTGCAAATTAGTGCACAGGTTTTGATTGCTTTCCATAAGCAAACTAGTTAAACAGAAAATTACAACTATTTTCAAACATCCTTCAGTTTGTCAAACATCATTCAGGCTGTCCAAAATCTGGCTTCAGGCCAGAGTAAGATAAAAATACAGTCCTTGTTCCTCTAGCCTTGCCTATTTTCAGTAGGTTTTACAAGGATATGATCTGAAAAGTTCACAGTCTACATACTTTAACAAAAACATTGCAAATATGTTGAAGTCTTTTCTCACATAAAGCAAGAASATAGTTATGAACAACTGTTCCTTATCTGCTAGGTCCCTGACCTGGAAGGGGTGCTGGAGGGTTCAGCTCCGTCTCCTGTGATTCTGTGCAATGTAGGAGATGTGTAAAAATGACTCCTGKGACTAGAACGGGATGTAGACATCAAAATCATGAAGTGCAGCCTGAAAACCTGCACTTAGCCTAATCACAAAGAGTTGAATGTGGTATGAGTGAATGAGGTAGATTAGGGGCAGGGTTCCCACTTAGGCTTTTCTGTTTGGCCTGATAAACAGGGCTCATGAGGAGAGTCATGAAACCCAGTCAGTTCCCTACCTTCTCAAAGGAAAAAGGTAACCTAAGGGGGAAACAGTTGTCCATTTGGGGGAATATTTGATCCAAGGTGATGARGGAAAGGCTATGGACAGCCCATAGTCTAATGCCATAAGCCCTGAACAAGGGCAGCAACTCGTTTTCTTGGAAAGGGGTCAACCCCACTTGTCGTGGTGTCCAGCCTGTGGATGCCTCCTCTGCTCTTACAGACTCAGTGTTGTCTGCTTTTCTTGGAATAATGCTACTGTCCAGACCCTGAAACTAGCATTTGAGACATCGCAAACTCAGAAGTGACTTAAGAGTGCTGAGCTGTTGATTACCCAAACTTTCTGGTTCAAATTCTTTGGCATAACATGGCAGCAAATGATGATAACAAGCTTGGTGGTTGAATCAAACGATGACTTCATTCTCAGGGAGGTAAATTACACACATCTAAAGAGAAGTTCTGAGAGACAGCAATCGTCTTTATATCTCGTGATGACCAACCCTCYGAATTGCTTTTTAAATAGTTGTTTCCTTACTATATGCTCCATACAGAGGTTTGAATTCTCGTGCCACAGATGCAGACTCCTGCATAGAGAAACAGATATTCTGTGAAGGAGTAAGCATCATTTGCCAAGATAAAGTCAGTGGCCTTAAATTACTCTGTGATTACTTTCCTGGAAAATCCTGAGCACGTGAATAGAATAAAATACAATTTGTGCCTTTCAGGTCCCAGTTACTAAACCCCATGTAATCATGTAATTCCTTTTTTTTTTTTTTTTTTTTAAAAAAAAAGCAATTTTGTAGAGAACTCTAAAGAATTGGATTAGTATATATGTTGACTTTTCACTTGTAGCAAAGGCTAGAAGGACTCTTTTGCAAGAGAAACTAAGGAGCATAGGAAAACGAATGTCTTCTCCACACCCACAGTGCAGGAGCATCAGTAATCACAATCACATTGTGATTACATTGTGATTACATTGACTCCTTATTCCATTGTATTCGTCTCACCAAACCATAAGGCATTTTTCCAAAATATTCTTTTTAAGTGAAAGGCTTTTCATGTATTTTTATAGAAAGAGAATRTGAATATGCTATCATATAGTTCCATGTATTACAATAACACCTACCATGTTTTATGCCTGATTTAAACAAGCAGTTTCCCGAATTAGCCTGTACTTTGTATTAAGAGAAAGGTCAGGATACTAATTGACAAAATTAAGTAAATATAAGAACATATAAGAACTCACAATATRAGAAATTACCTTGTAAATCAACTTTCTGTATATAAAAATTGATGCACAAAATGTTCAAGTATTAATACTTATCACTCCACTAATACTTACGCTTCAGAACAMGAAGTTCAAAACATTCAAGCCACCGTGTTTCCTAAAGTCTTCATGCAAATTTACAATGGTAATTGTTTCAGCTTAGAGTTACAGGAGGGCTGAGATGAGTCAAGAGCAGCAGCTGTCCGCAGTGCCGCGTCTCGTTACACGGCTCGCGCTGACGGAGCGCCGGTGGGGAACATCACAGGGGTAGGGAGCAATCCAGGACAGCTACCCCAGCGCTGGAGGATCTGTGTGAGCAGGAGCAAGATGACTTCACAGGACATTAGGGATGAGAGGAGCTGAAGAGCAGAGCCTGGGAAAATCTGTGCTAGYGTGGGAGCACTTCTTAGCTCTGAGGGAAGGCAACAGCCTGAAACATGGTGAATCTCAACAAGGAAAGAAAAGGCCTGTCCTTTCATTCTATAACAGGACAGGAAAGCAGGGCACTGAAGACTATTTAGCTTTAACTTTGTTAAGATGGCAGTGTCTCATTCTCTATGGGCCCAGGTCAGTTTTCAAATAGGAACTCAGATGGTATGGCAGCAAGGGATSAGTGTCCAAACACGCATTGGATCAGAGTGGGACAGAGCTCCAAGTTCTCATTTTCTGCTAAATTCTAAACTTTAAAATTTCCTTTCAGCACTGATTGCAGCTAAAATCATAAATTTCAACATACTGTGAAATTATTTTTCCTATGCAGCATCTTTCCATTTCATTGCTTGTTTTGACTTTTTTTTTTTTTTTTTTTAAATCAAATGACAACAAAAAGTAGCTGAACTGATTTAGCTGAGCTAACATTTTCCAGGAAAAAGTATTACACTGTTTTTTTGTTTTTTTTTGTTTGTGATAAATTCTGCAATCCCTTTATTCCCTTAAAAGCTTCCTAATTCCCTAAAATGTTTTCTGTTCTGCAGACCTATATCCGATCACCTATCTCTGTAAATCGCATTCACTAAAATAGCTTAAATAAATTTTAATACAATAAAAAAATAAGGCAGGTCTAATTGAGCAAAGAGCCCTTCAGTCTGGCATTTTACACCACATCATAAATTTTTTTGCTACGCAAAAGTGAGAGAAAATTACTCCAGACCAGATACAGAGTAGGACATCACTAAATTCAGTCCTCAAACTGAGAACTTGAGTTTTCTACTGGACACATATGCAATTTTCTATTTTAGGTTCTGCATGAAATCACAAAAACATCGTTAAAAGCCTTCTACTTTCAGTAAAAATTTATCAGGCAAGGAATGTTAATTACCAACAAAGCATTCTGGTAAGCAAAAGCATTATCACTACAGTAGCTGTTCAAAAAATTTCATATTAAAAAACCCATGATGCAAGTGACTCCATATTTATATTTAGAGGCTATATACACACACATACACATGAGAGCGGCTGAGCAGGAGCGCCCTGCTTCAGCGCTGCGCCCGTGTCCTCAGCGCAGGGGATTATCCTCYGGGCGCGCGCTCCCCTCTCTGACTCAGCACGCAGAACATGTGGCAGGCCTCATTTCAGAGAGCTCCGTACTGCCCAACAGGACACCACTGCCGCTGCCAAAAACCTCTCTCAAAAAYAGGGCAAGCCTATCCTGCTGGGGATTAAGGTCAGAAAGGGAATTTTAGTACTTCTGTGCTGAGCTTGTCCCTCTCCATCTCTCCTGTCCCTAAACTACTTCCTATACAGTAGTTAAGATACGCTATGTCCCTAATGACCGTCCCATCTAAAAATAAGTGCTCTTGCCACACAAGAGCTGTGAGGCCAGCGCAGCAGGACGCTGACGCGCCCGGAGATGCGTAGCAGGGCTTCTCTTCCACCGGGCTGCAGCAGTTCAGGAATTCACACTTGATAAAAAGAAGCCGCCCTTGCTGCCCTTATCTCCCTCAAGCAGGGCCAAGACTGAGATATTCCTAACCCTGATTTGGATTTCTACCTTCCCCTTTCATGCGCTTCTCTAGAATTATAAAATTACGTTTTGCTAGTCACGCGTGCAGTGAAGTTGTATGCATTTGTTCACTGACCCCTATAGATGATCCCTAACTGGCAACAGAAGGCTCAGCTTCTTACTTGGGTTTATCTTTTCTTATATCTGCATACCAAATTTCCAGACTGTTCTTCTGGATCTTCAGTGCCTGAACACTGTGAAGTTTCTTACCTTTTATTTTTATCTTGTTTTCCAAATAATATGGCAATAGGCTTCTGCATTACAATTAAGTATATTATTATTTGATCCAAAAAATCCTTGTCCTTGCTCTTTTCCCAAGGAAAGTAAAAAACACAAAGGAAAATGTAATTATTTTTACTCAATAGTAACATCATACATTATTCATGGTGCAGGTTAGCAGGTTAGATTAAGCTAATAAAGCCCTTCCAGTGCAAGGTGAAAAAGGAATAATCAGCACTTGTTGCCTAAGATAGGAGTGCAAAAAAATGGTAATTTTCTTGCTGCAAGAGGAGAAYTTAGTCTCCTGAAATCCTAGAATTTACAAACTGGCTGAAGAGAAGTTGTAGGGGGTGGGCATCGTTTCTTCCTCTTTTGTTGTGTTGTGGCAATTTTGTCATAATTTTGCCTCTGTTAGTAAGGAGAAATTTCATTTGGGAACCTTGAGTATGATGCGTTTTAGAAAGCATCTAAAAAATTATAGAGACTTAACAAGTCTTTCAAGAAAGTTCTGCTAATAAAACTGCAATTTTAAGTATGCTTCTAAAACATATTTATTAGCACTATAGCACATAAACATGACTATGGTACCTAATCCTCTGTAACAAATGTGCTGTAAAAAACTACACAGGGTAAAAAAAGAAAAATATAAAGAAAACCACAAACACTCACACAGCAACGGGGGCACTGAAAGCCAGAGAAGCAGCCTCCAAACTCCCCTGAAGACATTCATTTTCTACTCATTTGTTTCTAGGGGGAGGACAACCATGTTTGGCAGAAGAAACCACGCGCCTTCCATCTGCACAGAAGTCACTGCTTCTTGATGGCCGTAGGTCGTGATTCATTTCTTGGCGAGGGCATTTACTTTTGTCCGTTTGCTCTAGGAGATTCCAAATGTTCCCTAATTCTGGTTTCAATAGAATTATACGTCAGCTTGTTTATCCAATATATGATCAAAAGACCCTGTAGGTCTTTAAAAAAGAAATTTGTGATTTCAATGAACAAAACTGATTTATTTTGTCCCGTCAGCAAAGGCATTCTGTCAGCATACCTTAACTTCAGCTGCTCACCCCAGTACTTTTTGTTCAAGATTCATATTCTCCTCATGCCCCATGAAGCTGCAGCGACCCACAGCGAGGGGCTGCTGACGTGGCAGGACGCCCGCCTGCTTCCCCAAGGAAGCGAAAATCCCGGCAAACACAGTCTGCAGTACCTGGCATCCAGTAGTAACACAAGTGCCAGGTAGGCTCTGGAAAGACWGTGCCCTTACCCTGAGGAGTTTAGCTGCTTTTTTCAGTGCTGTTCATTAAAAGGGCCTGCTTGTCTAGTCTTTGCCCCACAGCACAGTTTGTTCTYGAGTCTTCTTGGACCCACTTGCTGTCCGCCTTGGCCGCATCGCTGAACTGCTCCCAAACTCCGTATGGACCACAGTAAAAGCACATGCAGCTCTCAGAGCTACTCACAGGCTTCCTAGGTCATATCTAAACCTGCTCTATAGGACAGCATTATAGCACAGGCACAGAAGGAATTCTATTGCTTTCACCTTCAGTTGCTTTATCATAGGGATTCTATGCATATTATGACTATCAGTTCAATCAGCCTTTTTTTTTTAAAAAAAAAAGGAAAAAAACCTTCAGAATTCATTTCCATTTTTTCCTTAAAATTCTGAAGCACAGTGAGACTGCCAGGCTCTGCTGTTTTCAGAAAACAGGCTGGAAAGCAAAGCTGACCCTCTGCTGAGTTGGTCCCACATTGCCTGAAGGTCCCGTATTATTCATTCCTGACTGAGCTTGTGATGCCATTTTAAGAAGCTGTTATCACCCAAAYATGCAGCATTGCATTATCTGCCCTCCATATGCAGAAAATCGGGAAGTGACCAGTGCGCTCCCTTCCCTTGCTCCCAGAACAAGCAAGGGATGAACACACACGCTGCTCAGATTTTCTTGTTTGAGCTAGGTCAGCAGTGAATGAAAACTCAGAGAACTCTGCATACCAGAACTGTGAGCTGCTGTACCTGAGCTATCCGTAACTGCTAGGGGAGAATGAATTTGGGAATGGGAGGAGAAGGGCAAGGAGGGAACACAATGAGATCTCAGCACGTGTACACAAACATGCAGATCTGTCTCAGAGCTTGGCTCCTCTTTTTTTTTTTAAAAAAAAAAAAAAAAAAAAAAACATTTTTTCCTTATTCTCCAAAAACAGACTTGAGTCATTAATAAGAGACTAATAAGTTAATGAAGAGACTAGTAAGTTAATGAATCTTTGGTCAGCTATCCAAATGCTGCATTGCAAAGCCCTGCATGATTCCCTTGCCAGCACTGCATCACATTCCTATGGCTAATGCTTTTTTCAAAAATCGTTCAGAAAACGTGTGTGTTTCACTGAACCACTTGTAAAGCCGGCAGATGCCCTTAATGGATCAGGGAAAACCCTCTCGCTCACTGGGTTATGAGATGCACATTTGGAAGTTAACCCACCACAGCACCGACATAAACATGGGTGTCTTGCTGAACTTGAGCCTATGTCTACAACAGCATCTCAGCATGTACAAGCACAGGTCTGTAAGAGAAACTCTTCAGTGCAGTACCATTAAGGAAACTATAGTGCCTGAGCAGTATGGAATGTAGTTAAACTGTAAAGTTCAATGGATGACGCAGTGACGGAACTAATAATAATCAAAGTTATCATAAAAGCATCTTTACTAAAGAAATTAATAAAAGTAATCRGTTGAGGCCATTAAGCACGTTACTAGAACTGACAAGAACTCAGTGTAACAACTGGCAAATATTTTGTTTGTCCCCTGAGGGATTCAGCGGACAGATAAAACTGGCCACATCACCCAGGTGGCCACCTTCAGAAGTCCGTGCAAGCGGAGCYGGGGTGTTCCTGTCTGCCTTTTCAGGCCCTTTTCCAAAACCTGGAGAGGACAGAGATCACTTGAATCACTTCTCAGTCCCGTCCTCGGGTTCGCTGTCTTCGCTGTCACTGTCCCTCCCTGGGTGCTCCGGCATCGTCCGGTGCTCATCCACTTCTGCCGCTTTCGATTCTCCTTCCTTTGATGCTTCTTCCTCTGACTTATTTTCTTCCCCTGCCTCCTCCTGCATACCTTGGGCTTCATCTTCTGCTTCTGCCTCTTGAGTCTGACTGGCTTCAGGTTCTTCAATCATGGCAGGTGGGGGCAGTAAGCGCTGGATAAAAAAGACAATAACAATAAAGCCCCATGTATTCAGTTTTCAAGACAAGTCACCTGGGCATCTGTTCCTATTTTAGCTCAATCTTTTTCATCTTAGATTTACAGTTTTGCATTAGAAAGCAACAAAGACTAGCTAGAAACACTAATCACTTGCAGTCACTTAGTTCCTATAAATTTAAGAGCAAAAATAAGCTTGGCACACACTGGTCTTGTTAGATGTGCTCCATGCCCGGAAAGAGAGTGATAAAAACTCTGTACTTCCAATCCAAGGAGATGAATTTCATTAACTCAGACAAGCAGTGGAGCTAGAGCAAAAACATATGTGAGCAAGATGGAGGTAATGCATCCAGTGCTCCATTACCATTTCAGACTCCTAGATAAGTGTCATGGTGGACGACACCCATCATAAGATGGGTGTCATGGTGGATGACAAGTTGACCATGAGGCAGCAGTGTGCCCTGGTGGCCAAGAAGGCCAAC